ACTTTTCAGGCTATAACTTTCTTCATATTCGAGCTTTTCGCGCCGGAGTTATTTGATTTAAAAAATTCAAACTCATTCTCTCTCCAATCATGGCTGAAAATTTGATCGAAAGCTAATTTAGTAAAAATTTAGCACGTTGAAACTTTTTTCTGTGCAAACGCGACTTTTCAAGCTTTAAACGACCATAACTTCCTTCAAATTCATTTATTTGGGAAGCTGAACCCGGTATGAGAAACTACAAGATTCAAGCTTCCTAATAAGTACCCAAAGGTATTTTAAAAGCGAGTAATTCAAAAATTAGTCCCGTTGCTACATTTTAGGGGGGTTCGCGGAACTATTTTTCTGAAACCGCGACTTTTCAACCTTTAAACGACATAACTTCCTTCAAACTCATTTATTTGGGAAGCTGAACACGGTATGAGAAACTACAGGATTCAAGCTTTCTAAAAAGTACCCAAAAGTTTCTTAAAAGTCAGTAGTTCAAAAATTAGTCCCGTTGCTACATCTTTTTGAAGGGCATTTTCCAAGCCATTCTTTCAAGAAAGCGGGTTTTTTAGGTTTCACTGCCCGTAACCTTCAGGGAAAACGAGATCGTGCTGACGATAGGATGTGTCAGAATGCTTTGTGCATGTGCTTGCACTGGTATCCCCCTGTCTTGGTGTGCGCCACGCCTCGGTCGCACTCCTGATTCGCTGATTCATTTGGAAAGCTCATTCGGAAGGAAGGGGTTTACAGATGCTCTAGCATCAATTATCTTGCGTAAACGTAATGTGGTGACTATTGTCCATGTTGTCTTAGGCAATACTCCAGCTACACTTTAGTTTCAAATGTGGTTTCGTGGGTGGACCCATGTCATGGTGGGAGCACTTTTTTGAACGATGCTACATGTCTTGCAGCTGCTGTTTCTGCAAGTCTTCCTTTCTCATGCTCTTCCTGAAACATGGTTATGATCAGTAGGGAGATTACCACAAATCCCACTGCCGGCCACCGAGAGAGTACGACCCCCCTCCGGGTCCATCCAAGTACGACCCCCCGTTGCTACTTGTAGCAACATAGGGTTGACCCTGGGTCTAACTCACAATCAGGCAGAAGTCGTAAGAACGATTATCTTAGGTCCATAGTATAAACCTCCAGAGGACAAATGTGACACTCTCTTGTCTAGACATCACCCTACAAGGGCGGAAGGGCTCTGGAAATATAGCTTCGACGGCTGCTATGTTCCCGTCTGCAGCAGGCTGATGTTTAGCACTCTCTCATATGTTGCTCCACCGCTTCGTATGCTCTGCTCCGAGCTCAGTCTTTTCATTGCCCTAGCACATCCACATGAAGAAGGTGAGCAAGCTTCCTTAGCTGTAGCGGTTTTTCGACGGGCTCCCTCCTTTCAAGATTTGCTTCTGACCCACCTCGCACCAATATTTACTTGTCGGAGTCCAGGATCAACTTGTTGTACAAGACGACCCACCCCAAGTTAATCCTGGGCGTGCTTTCAAACAAAACCACATGCGTAACGTTGGCAGGATATGGTGAATGGAACGAAAGTAATTCCGAACCAAACGATGCAATTCATCTTAGCTACGATTCCTGAACTAGAGCTACAGATACGGCAAGGTCTCATCGTCTCAATAACAGAGCAAGCTTGTCTAAAAAAGATTGCAGATGCAGGGAGTTAAAAAAAAAGTACCTCAAAAAAATTAGGCATACCAACTACATACAAATAGCAAGAACGAATAGCCTGAAATATCCTACAGAGCTCGGCATTGACAAGGGAGAGAATAAAAACACTGAAGCAAGAAGCAGCACTAAAGGTTGACTTCAGGGTTACTCGCTTAGCCCTGAAAGGAATCTTGGGATTGGAGCTAATTATTGTTGGTCTCTACGCTCTTGCTATTTTCATCGTCAATGGGATGATTAAATCGACAATTGTAAGATGATTTCGTTATCTATTTTTTCCATTTTCTGTTTCACTGTGGAGTTGTGAGCCAGTTTTTACGTCGAACTTGTTGTGGCCCATGCGCAGCATGGGTATGAGAGCAAAAAAAGAGTCTGTTAGCTCATCGCTAGCATTAGCACAATTAACATCTAGCGGGTGGGGCTCGAAAACTATGAAGCTACCGCTGCAGGAATTTCTGATTCCTTCACACGTATAATGTTCTTTTCCCACTTTTATAGCGTCTTCAGAACAGGAAGCCATTATTTTTCGTCTAGTTTCGAGCTCAAGTAGGTCTATACCCATTGCTACTACTAGATGCATCTGCGTAGATTCCTCTAATGAATCAATGGTAAGCTTACATGAGCCTATTGCGCTCCTTTTGTGGGACCCCTAGGAAACGGTAGCCCCGAAAACTTTTGATTCGGGTACACTGTTGTGGGCATAATTCGGGAAATGTTCACTCACCTGAACTCCTAGAATGTTGACTTTCTGGAAGGATAGTTTTTTTCAGTGTTACCAACTGACCTTAACACTCGCATTAATCCACTAGCCATTCCGGACGTTTTAATGTTAGCCGTAAGTTCACCAAGTGTGGACTCAGCCAGGATGCTCACCGCGCTTCCTGCGACAATAAACCGCTAGTCTCTCTATTATGCAAATACAAATCCGAACTTTCTTTACCACATTGACAACCGCCGTTGTGTGAACGTCTACCTAACTCTCTTACAAATTTTCATCAATACTTCTCATTCACTAACAATTCATTACTGGTAGTGAGTCTACCATTTTCCGTGATAATGCGTTTTAATAGTTTTAATGTGGAAACAGAGCTATATGTAAAAAATGATCCTCGTCCCAGCGATGCGGACACACAGCGCGGCGAAATACATGCGCGTCATATTTGGCTCCGTTGTAAAATGTGTGAATGTTTCACAAGAATGCTGGGTTGTGAACAAAACTTTCGCCCCAGGCGGGACTAGAACCCGCACCTCTCGCTTTCCGGGCAAGTGCGCTACCAGTTACGCTACCGGGGCACCATTTCATTCCAACTCAGCTTTTCATGGTATACGTACCATAGCTTTCAGCACTCACACGTCTAACGTGTTGAGCCGGTTAGCCGATATCGGCAATGACCGCGAGGCTGAAAGCTTTAGCAGTGGATTTTGATTTGTTTTTTGTTTGTTAACAGCTGTTTTAGGCGGAAGCACTGATCGCGATCAAGTGGCACGGTGACGTAAAAATATGCGTCACTGAAAACAGCAGCTAAACTTCAAACATAGCGAAATGTGGCGCTTTGGTGCGATTAGTGAGCTACCAAAAAAATAACAGGTCGAAATACTTCGTCCCCACAATGCTGCCTGTAGCGACATCGTTCGCCTTCCATTGTAGAAAGGATTCTGCCTCGAACAGCCATATACTCGGAATTGTTTGGGTAATGCTTTATCAATCAAGAATGTTTGTTGGCATGATGCCTGTCTTCATCTGATTCGACAAGCGTTTCCTGGTTGGTTTGGTTGGAAATCAAATGGCAAATCGAAATGCCCCATTTTGCATATTTTCGTCGGATTTTAGTGTGATTTTTCAGCCGCTAGCGCACCTCCTTCTAACGAATTCTTTCCACTCTCAGCCCTCTTAGTATCCACTCTGCTTTCAAGGTTCTGTCTAAAGGGAACTCTCAGGCTCTGGGTTTTCATCATGCATGGCGGCTGTTATGTTACGACAGTCTTTTCTCATCCCGATCCCTCCGTCCTCTCAAGCTATACTTAAGTAAAGCTTACCTTTGGTCGGTCGCCTGAAGGTGTATGGTGCTCGATTTATGAAGGGTGCGTGGTAGGGTAATCTCTCGCATGTTCAAGCATGAATGTGTACAGGTGGAACCGTGGATATTTCAACCGAAATCCAGCACGTACAGTTTCAAAGAATTCGCTGTGTCATCGAACTCAGAATCGTGCAACGAGGAAGCCAGGTGATTTCGAATAGTTAGAGTTCCTTAAATCCGAATTTCAATAGCTAAGGTCACAATTCTTGTCTGAAAACTGTTCCTAGTTACTGTTCTGAAATGTCTTTCACATACGTACAGCAGCGGTCATAAGTTGGGAAACACTTTTATTTAATGTGTAATGCAGAGAGTGAATAAAAAAGTTATCAGAGGAAGGTGAAAATTGTAGTGCAAATTCATTTCTTGCTCAATAACTTAATTCATTTCAGATTGTTTAAGAACAAATCCGCTCTACTTAAGAAGGATGACCGTCGGTGATCCAAAATCCACCTCCGTCTTCCGAGGAACCTGAAATTTCACAAGGAAAAATTCCTCTACTTCTCAATTTCCCCTTTCGACACCTGTTCCCCTTCAACAAACGCGCCCCATTGCAGTCACCGAGGGCGCGATCCACCACAGAAACGTAACCTGTCAAAAACCTGTCAAACCTTTAGCCCTCAGCCATGAGGTCCGTATCATAAATGACTTTATGTCCTAATTCCATGCCTACGCTGTTTTTCGGAATGGTAACTCGTCTTTTATGAAATTTGAACCGAAATTCAGCATTCTTGTCTAAAAAAGTTTTAATTCATATGATTATTATTGTTTAAGTAATCTTATCACCACTTGAGCTACACACAGGGGGTCGTACCAAATCGCCCATGAAGGGGGGGGGGTCGTAGAAAAAATCCAAAAAGTAGCAACGATAGGACCGACCCTGCTTAGACCTTCAAGCTATCTCCACAAAATGTTTCAATGATATGAATTCGAGAAAAACTATTAGGTTGTCCCATAATTAGTGAATCACTTTACATTTATTGTTATTAAAAATCCAAGAAAAATGGTGAAGGCGTGAAACATGTTTTGCGAAGTAGCACCCACATTATCCTACCTGAGCATTTACTCAGCCCATTTACATGCTGCCTTACGTGGCTATTACATCAATTTTTCTGGAACCTATTTTTGAGCTTCCTTCTTCATCACTTCTGATTAGGATCTTTCAAACGCCAAACAACATAGTGGATCAACCAGCAGATAGGCGAGGACACACTCCTTCAATCCACGGTTCACTCTATTCCGGATTTGGCTTTTTCATTTGAAGATGACCCACACTCCAACTACCCCTCTACTGGCAATCTTGCTGCTCTACCCAGCGCCACTGAGATTGGATCTGGACAAAGTAGTCGCTATTTGTCAGAGCATATCCGACTTGTTCAGATGATGGAATGTAGGCATTTCTGTAGAGTCGTAAAGAATTTAAAATATGGAATTTGTATCTCACATGCTCTGTGCCCGAATCACCCTCGAACACGATCTGACATCATCATGTTCCTTTTGATTTCCTAGAGTTCCTTTCAGTGACCGTCCTGCATATTCACCAGTGTTGTAGACTGGGTGGAGTGTGCTAGCAAATCCACCAGGAGCAGTAGCCTAGCTCAAGCGATTCGGGAGTTCTGACAGCAAAAGCCCAACTTCCTCTAAGTTCGACACTTCTGAAATGTTGGTGAAACACGAAAGGAACCTTGCGCTGGGAACCGCCGCCCAGTAATACTAGGGTCACTGAAGAAGGCAAACGTCGACAGCACAATGGCGACGTGTTCAATTTGAAAGTAAAGCAAGACAAAGTCGGCTTTTTTCTGAGGTCGTCGACCCACCTTGGGTAAATTATTCTTTTCTGAGCTCTAGCATTCTTCTCCAAGAAGAAATTTTACGCTAAGTGATACGACCTCAAACCCGACTTCCAGTCCTTCTTCGTTCAAGATCCCAATTTCAGAGGAAAGACAGCGACTAAATTCCCATGAATAGGCAATACATTATAGATGACAGAGGTGTATGTTTGGATGAGCAAGGACTTTGAATAAAAAAGAAAAAAACTTGAATTCAAAAATACCCAAAGTGATTTCACTAATTATGGGACAACCTAACAGTTTTAGGTTACTATCAGGTTGGAAAGGAAGTTCTGCAACGCACTTTCCAAATTTCCTCTTTTTGAATATTCGTAATCGTAACATCAATGACAAGGATCAATTGGCAGGAAGAGCTTCAGAAAGAGTAGAATCCTACGTATATCTAGGAAGAGAGCTGAACATGACGAACAATATCATTTCTGAAATATACCGCAGAAAACGTGCAGCATGGGCAGCTTTCGGATCGATTCGCGAAGTAACAGATCAAGTAAATGATCCAGAACTAAAAGCTTCGATATTCAACGCCTCAGTATTGCCGGCAATGTGCTACGCAACTGAAACTTGGCCCAACAACAAGACAATCGCCAAGGCCATGCAAACTGCTCATCGTGCATTAGAAAGGTGTTTTCTAAAGATTCAGCAGACGACAGCAATGGCAGCAAAGCATACGTAACGCTTAAAAGATCCGCTTCTTTACATGACGCAGTTGAAGCATCGATGGGCCGGTCATTTACTTCGTCGCACTGATGACAGATGGAGTCTACGCGTGACGGAATGGCTCCCAAGAGACAAAACGAGACCCTTGGGACGACCGCCAACCCGGTGGGCCGACTCGTTTTCAAATTTTTTCAGAGAACGCGGCCTACATTGGATGCAATCGGGACTATGTGGAAGAGTTGTGGTCCCCACTGAGAAGAACGCCAGTTGATGGACTATCAAAGTAAATAAAGTAACATCAATGACAACCCAAATAGTAAAGCATCCTTGAGGCTTCATCCCATGAGTGGATATGGGCGCTACAATCAGCAGTTATCCAAGAAAATGTTCATGTTTAATTCCAGTAGAAGTATGCCTCTCTGAAAATGGGAGTCAAAAAACCGCATTACTTTCCGAACAAGCCTAATAGATACATAACTGGTCAGGATTCATGCCCGCAAAAGACAAAATTGAGATCAAATATGTGAAACAATAGTACAGAATTTTTTCCAAGCTAATATGAATTTGATTATTCTATCCTTTGAAGGCTATGTGCCTCGCTCGTAGGCTCGAAAAAGCCGAGACATGTGAAAAGCATGGTTACTTAAAATTTTTGCAATCCCCTCGCAAGGTGCTCTGGATACCACCTGCTCACTGGTCTGTTTTGAATGGAGCTATACGGAATTCGCGGTGCACCGGTGCTCTCAGTGTGATGTTAGGTCATCGTCTTTGCGAGAAGGCGCACCACGCTTCTTTACGCCTTGTCTATTGGTGGTTTAGTTATGTACCACAAAGGTGCTATCACAATATGGTAAACTTTCCTGAGACAAGGCACTTCTGTGAACCTAATTTTGCGTAAAAAACAATATAATAATCTTAGCTGAAACGGCAATTCTTCACACTTCATGAAAGTATGGGACATCTTCTGGATAAATTACGAACATTATAATTTAGAGCACTTTCAAGCGCAGGTTAC